AAAGCTATCGATCTTGTTTACGGCGACTGTGTTTCCAATTTTGACATACTTCCAAGATATTTACTTAAGTCTTATCTAATTTTTTTGATTTGTTTGTAATTTAGGAATAAAATAAGGATTTTGTCGCCGCCCTAGAGAAGACCAACCCCGGCACAGTTGTAGAGTGGGAATGACAACCAGGTTGGACCGATATAGAGAGGACGTTCAAATACGTATTTTGGGCATTCAAGCCTGCAATTGATTGTTTTGCTAAATGTCCTCTGGTGATTAGTATCGACGGGACGCACTTGCGTGGTGGATACAAAGGTAAATTACTTGCTGCAATGGTCAAAACTGCGAATAAGCGCATCCTGCCAATTGCATATGCGATCGTGGATGAAGAGAGTGAGGAAAGTTGGTCATTCTTCTTGAAGCATTTGAGGAATCATGTTATATCCGACCATCCTGTGTGTGTTATATCCGATCGGCACAAGGGTATCATCAGTGCAATACGCCTAATGCCCGAATGGAATGCATACCACCGGTTTTGCCTTCGTCATGTCCGTAGTAACTTGGTGGCGCAGTTTCGAAGTAAAAAGATCAAAAGGTTGTGTTGGGAGATGGGCACAAAACTTTCTAAGTCTAAATTCAAAGAACAAAGGAAAGAGCTACGTGATTTTAGCAATGATGCTTATTTGTATCTCGAGGAGATTAATGCTTGTCAGTGGACTCTTGCCAAAGACAAACACTATCGTTGGGGTAACCAGACAATGAACATTTCTGAAAGCTACAACAACGTCCTCAAGGGCGTTCGTTTTTTGCCGATCCGAGCTTTGGTGGAAGCCACTTTTATTAAGACTGTGGATTTGTTCCAGGAAGAATACGTGAAGTCGAGGAAATGTATTACTCCGGTCCCAACTGACTTGTGGGAAGACTTCAAGAAAAAAGAAAAGAAAGCCGCCAACAAAAAATCAACCGTTATGGTGCTATTAATGGCAAGTTCAAGGTGAAAAGTAGAGCCCGACTTGGTGGTAAAGGGGACAACACGTACACTGTGAAATATGAAGAGAAGAAGTGTTCTTGCAAGAAGTGGCAAGAGTATAGGTTCCCTTGTACACATGCACTAGCTGTGTGTCGGAAGATAAAAGATCAACCAATCAATACGGTGAATCCATATTTCAGGGTTGTTGCTTGGCAAGACCAATTCAATGGGCGCGATGACTTTTCCCCGGTTCCTGATATGAGAAGATGGCCTAAGGTTGGATGGAGACTCGTTCCTAACTACAAGCGAGTTATTATGCATGCTGGACCCGGTCGTTGGCAAAAGTAGAGATTTAAAATGCAAATGGATTATAGGGGACGCAAATCGAGGGGTGAATGTTTGAGATGTGGCTCAAGGAATCATTTCACCAATGCGTGCCCAAAATCACACAAGAAATCCGATAGGACAAGGCTCAAGATCAATTGGGATGCCGATGGTATTCACAACGACTAGGATTGTTTGGTTGAATTGTTGTTTATGTGGCAAAACAATGTTTCATGTCTCGAAACTTTTGTAGTTTATGCTTTAGTTTGTTCAATTTGTAGTTTATGTTTTAGTTCTTTTGAATTGTATTGTATGCTTAATGAATTAGTTCATTTAATATATCGTTATTGTGTTTGATATTAGTACTTGTAAATCCGAATTACAAAATTCGATCTAGGCATAAAGCCGGATTTCCTGAATCCGAGTTTCATGGAAAATCAGATTTTGTAAATCCGATGTAGGACCTAAGTCGGATTTTCAGAATCCGATTTTTGCACTATTCACTCCTAGGTCGGACTTTGGACCAAGGTCGGATTTTGGTGAAAATTTCAGTTATGGGTTTGGGAGCATATCCCAAGACTTCAACCAAAGAGGAAGGTTAAAGATGAGAGTTACTTGGTGCCGGACGCACCACTAGGCAATAGATAATTATAGATTTATTTTATCAATTTTTATTTCCTATTATGACTCAATCCAATGATTTATTTTATTAATTTTTATTTCCTATTATGTCTCAATCGTAGGTGGAAATGCCCAAAATCCAAAGCGAACATCGCCGCTCATTGTGTTGCTGGCATCAGGGATCAGTTATCTAGCCTAAGGGATGAGGATGTAAGTATTGATTTAAGTTGCTCGATAAAATTCCTTTTCATTTTTTTCTCTATTTTTTTTTACCAATTTTTTAATTTTGGATAGTTTCTATGGACTCCATACACTCCCTTCATCGACGATCTCCCTGATTTCTGTAAAGAGGGGTTCATTTCTACCTCTGTAGGACGTGGATCTTTTGTTGGGCCATCAGAGAACCATACGAGCCCAATCGGGTCCTTCGTCAATTTCAATGCGTGCAAACTGTGCTAGAGTACCCGTTAATCAATGACATTGATCGCTGGAATGCGATACACCACGGATGCCTTGGGACTGGAAAGGCATATGATGATTGGGTGCAAAAACACACTGAGGTACGACCTCATTGGAATGTGAGAGATCAGCACGTGGTCCCTCATGAATTGGTTGATCCGGAACTAGGTCCTCAATGCACATCGGACTACATGCCGTGGTTTCAAAAGAAGACTATCAGATTTATGACTGATCCCACTCAATACGGCCCTCTGGCATAGGATTATCACTCGTCTTCATCTCTGGAGAGATTTTATGTAAGATATATGTCGATATTTTATTTTAAATTTTTTTTATATTTTAATTCTTGCTATATCTTATACTTTATTAACATGGTTCAATTTTCTGCAGTCTTCAAATCTCAGTGACATATATCATCTCGCTGATGCAGCCTTATGGGAAAATCCAAGCCTCGGTGGTAGTCTAGAGGATAAACTCTTCCAAATCTTCGACAAGAGTTTCAGTGCCCTGACTTTGGGCCCACGTGATATGAGCACTCAGCCCGATACTCAAGTTCTTCAGAAAGACCCCCAGAGTCAAGTCAAAATGTGGTGCTCACGCAGAAAACAACATCGAAGCCTACTAGAGGAGGAAGGAGAAAGCGACCGGGAATTTCAGATCAAACAATCATAGTTCATCCCAATCCAACTCCGATGCAAGAATATGATGAAAATGATGAAGGCAATGAAAGCGATGAGGATTACTACATTAGGGGCGAAGAAGAAGAAGAAGAAGAAGAAGAGTCCTCTCCACCTCGTGTTTCTTTCCCAAAAGAAAAAGAAAACGGTCGAGGTTCGCAAGAGTGATAGGGTTAGTAAACCGGCCAACAAGTATACTCCCGGCGGCGGGGCTATAAGGAAGAAAAGGTCTTCAAAGTAATTCAATTGTAGGACTCTTTCATTTATAACTTTTTAATGTATAAATGTTGTAATTTGAATGATTTTGGGATTTGAATTTGTTAATGTTTGTTTTGATGTGTTTAGAATGTGTTTATAGGTAATTTTATGCGTGAAATTTGGTTTTGGTGCTGTTTTGATAGGTTGGGATTGGTTTAGAAACCAATCCTTTATTTTTTTCAAAGTGTCTGTCCAAGGTCGTCTACTTGTTTTACGAAGAAATCGGATTTTGAGAATCCGAACTTGACGTACACAGATTCTCAAAATCCGATTTAAACTTACCCGGATTTCTGAAATCCGACCTTACGCTAAAATCAGATTTTAAAAATCCGACCTTGGTCAAAATTTTATTTCAAAAAAAAAAACAAAGTGTTTTTCTGAAAATATAAAATCCGGCCTTCTCTTAATCTTGATTAATTTCATTAATTTTTCGTATTAAGGGAAGGTCAGATTTGGAGAATCCGATTTAATTGGAAAATCGGATTTTAAGAATCCGATATCGGTATTTTGCTCTTCCCCAAAATTCGACCTATATTTATCTCTACTCTTTTTTATGAACCATTTTTTAACTCAAAAACTCATACAGTAAGTCTAGTATTTTCGGCTTATTTGATTTCCGTTCTCTCGCGTTAATATATAACCCTTTTTTTCCATTAATATATAACCTTAATCTATGCAATAAGCCTAGTACATTTTCAGTTCATTTCATTCCCGTTCGATCAGCACATTAACTTTATATATATTTTTATATATATATATATATAATGGAAGTAGTTTAACAATCAGTACCAAATGATTTTATGACAACATAAAAAAACTCATTATGTGTTGATATTTTATCTTTAAAAAAATATCCAATAAAATCCCCAAGATATGATTGATTTAAAAAGTTTAACGGGATACACGAATTGAGCACCTATAATATATTCCCACATTATTTGAATAGAAAAAATGAATGAAAAGAAAAATAGGTGCCCACCTCTCCAATATCACATTTCTGATGATTTAGGTCTCGGGTGTAAAATTTTTTTTTAACTTTAATATACAGAGTATTAATTAAGTGAGCGAGGATCACATTACAATGATTTACTTGATGGAATAAAGATAAAGAGAAGTCTTTTACTAATACTAATATATAGACGTTCTCTACTTCTAGTATAACAATTTTTACAGCTTGATTAGAAAAATAAAATGTTACAAATATCGTCTTCGATAAGGAGCTAGGAAGCGGCCCTTTTCTGGAGTTGATTATATCAAATACTCCCTTTGCTACTAAAAATAAAAATACAAACTGGACAATAATTTTAGGTCAGAGGGAGTATCAATGCTAATATTCTCAAATCTTGAGGGTGAAGGTGTAATTGGAAAGGTGAACGAGGGTTAGGGGTATAACTGTAGTATTTCCAAATCTTGATGTTCGTTGGATTAAAAAGAAGGTTAATACAGTATCTAAAATACTCTCGAGGTGAATTATCAATTATCTGCATGCCCAAAATTCATAAAAATATGGTCTGCCAGTCAATTAAATTAGGAGGAAATCAAGGGGGGTTCTTGATATTCTCTTAAAAGAAGAGGGTATATTAGATAATCGAGCATACATAGAGGGTGTTTTTTGATATTAACCCAAAAAAGAGAAACCAAAATTGGGGGGCTACAATGTAATTCGCCCAAAAAAAATAAGATGCTCGGTTCGTCCGCTTCGTCATCGCCCGAAAAAACTTCTATTCAAAGTTTGAAATTCGAAAACACATCCAATTTTGGGTCTGGAAGCATTTGTAGGACACACCCAGGTTTTCCTCGAAATCCAATATCTTTCTCGCTTAATTTCAATTTCCTCCATCCCGATATATCTATCTCTGAGTCGAATTGAGCCTGTGATTGATGTTCTATGGATTGATTAGCTATTAATTTCTTTTCAATTGGGGCTATTTGTTTCGGGTATTCGGAAAATGTTTCCAATTGAATGTTCAAATGATTTTTATGCTCTTTTAAAAAATCAAGCCCCAATGTTGGTTTATGTGCTATTTTAAGGTGTTTAATAAGTGAAAACATCAAAGTAGAATGCTTTTTGGTTGGATTTCTATAGTTCGGGTCGGATTTCATCGAATTCTGTTCACGTTCTGTGCAACCGTTTTTGTATCTGTAAGTGGGAGTATGAACTCGACTGTTTGTTTGTAATTTTTAAATATGATGGACTTCGAACTTTTTTTATTTGTGCTAAGTTTAGATATATCATTCATTGTTGATACTGCAAACCTTTGAATAATCAAGATGTTCAATTTAGGGAACTTCCAAATAGCTATCCTTTTTGGAAGTGGATTTCCTGTTGGCGCTGTTGTTTGGTTTTTTTTCGTCAACAAAATTTGGATTTCTAAATTCTTTTCCTTCCGGGAACAACCCGAGGACTTCCCAGAAAACTTGGATTTCTAAATTCTTTTCCTTCTGGGAACAACCAGAAAACTTCTATATATACACTGGAGGTACTGTCATCTATTCGCGTTTATTACTACAATCACTTTGTAACCTACCATATCTTTTTAGTTTTCTTTTTTTACTCTCTTTGTCTGTGTGTGTGTTTAGCTATCTAATCTTTTAAGTACAAACTTGATTCGTTTTCACACATTACAGTGGATTTTGCCTCCCATAAGGAATCAGGCCCTTCCAATTTGCTTAAAGAACTCCTTCGATTGAGGAGAAGCAATCACTATGGGAGATCGAGAGCTGAAAGAAGCAGAGATCCTGCAACCTCCTAAACTAGAAACGACTTGTCATGAGGAGTATGAAGACCTAATAACACGTCGGGTGCACAGACCAGAACAAAACACTACACGGGATCGCCACCGGGAATTCGAAGACCTAGTAAGCAGCAACCCCTTGAACAAAAGGGCTTATGTGGAGTATGCCAAGTGGCAAGAGGAGTATACCGAGTGGCCGAAAGGTTTTAATGTTATTGATGCACGTAACACCTGACGAAGAGCCCTCTATGTAGATCTTGGAGATCCCAACATGTGGAAGGAATATGCACATTTCGAGATGAGAAATGGGTGCCTTTCCCGTGCCCGGCTAGCATGGCTCAATTCTCTCCAATGTTGTCCCCATGTAGGTGAGTTGTGGAAAGAGCATATTCAAATGGAGGAACATGTTGGAAATTTTCAAGATATTGGACTGATTTTTGAGCAGTGGATGAAGGAGCAACCAAGCAAAGAAGGGTGGTTATCATATATTGAGTTTGAGCTGAGGTATAGTAGAGTAGAGAGTGCACGGGGGATATTCGAGAGGTTTGTGGAGTGGTCACCGAAAAATTGCTATGCCTGGATCGAATATGCAGCACTGGAGAGATCTTTAGGTGAAATCGAGCGAGCCAGATCCATTTTTGAGCGAGCTTTTGACCAACCCAAGCTAGAGATGGCTGACTTGTTATGGAAGGCCTATGTTGATTTTTCCAAGTCTTGCCTTGGCGAGGTGAGCGATGTTGATCAATTGCTAAGGAAACGGAGAACTGAATTAGAGGCAAAAGATTTTCCGTGGATGATGGATTTGAAGGACACACCACCTGCATGAGATCTTGGAGGGTGTTACAATTGGAAGAAGCAGCAGTGGCTTTGTTCAAAATGAAGATCTTCTAGTTATTTATTTGGAAATTTATTTATGTTCTGTAGTTTTGAATATTTTAGTAGTTCAATAAAAAAGTAATTTTTAAAATAAAGAGAATCTGATTGAGGTTTATTTTACCTGAAACAATTTATATATGAGCAGGCTTCATCATTTCATATGTATTTTGCACTCTATGCTCCTAGGGGTGTTTATGCACCCCCTCTGGTTCCCTTGGTGGGTCTTGTTGCATATCATTCCCAAATGAATTGATGCACTGGTATTGCCCATAGGTTTGAGCATAGTCATAAGATACAGAATATAGTATGACTATGCGATAAGAACCATGGAACCCATCATATGGTGGCAATTTGAAATCGAGTCTAGCCAAGGGAGTGTGGCTGCGGATTTCCCTCTGTACATAGTTATTGGGGTTCTGGTTCATATATACCTATCTGACTGCTGTTTTTAGGTTAAATTTGGCTGATTTATTGGGGATCTGTTGGCTGAATTTTGTATTTTTAGAATGTGGGTGAGCTTGAAGCAGGAGAGGAGGTCAAGATTCTGGTGTTTGAATGTTCTGAAGCTAAATATTCTTTCACAAGGCTAAAACTGAAGTACTTGCTAAGACAGTGCGAGCATTGACTGCTGAGAGCCTGAGTCTCAAATCTAAAATTAACAAATTAACCCAGAATTCTGAATTCAGAACAACTCAAACTTGAAAAAGCAAATATGGTGGCATCTCCTTAATTCGTTTCTCCTTGTACCATGTACTGTATCTTTTATCATACTGAGTAATGTACATGCCTGGTAGAACCTCAACAAGTATTACTCCAATGTGACAGGAGAAACTGAGGATACTGGACCTGAAAGTTCAACAGACCCGTGTACAACCTATTAGTTTACTGCGAACCTACAAGCTAGAGTAAATTACTCTCGGTTACACAGACCAAGGAGGATGGCAATGAATTTGAAAACTCGAACGAGAAGTTTCTAGGGCAAGCTTAAAAATTCAGAAATCCTTGTTATATAAGGCCAATGAAAACTGTCCAGCTTAGCGAGCTGATTGATTATTAACATCAAAAAAAGATTTATTAGAATATAGGTTAGGAGTTCTACATCATATTTGCTCTACAAATGAACTCACTAACACATCTGTATTGGTCATCCCGAAAATACTACTAAAATGTATTGGAGATACGAACAATCTTAAGCCATAGAACACTAATAGAATCGTATCTATCTCAATAATGAAACCATATCCACCATCTGAGAAGGAAGTACTAAATTGTACTGGATACACTCTACTTAAGCCACAGAACACAATAGAATCATATCGCTCATCCCACGTAATGCATAAAGCTCTCCCAATATAACCCCATTTCGTAGGTGGAGGGGAACAAGTTGTCAAAGATAGGCCTGATTACTCCATCCTCTACATCCAAGAGGTAGAATCCCTTCCACAAAGGACTTGGCTCGTGTTCTAGAAAGAGAAATCCAGTTTATGTGGATCTTGCCAAGACCTTAAAATCCAAATCCACCTTGATATGTAGCTTCTTGGACCAGTTTGATGATGACGCATCCCATTGCCAAACTAGAAGGACATTATGTGAGCAAGAGGTGAACAGTAGCTTTCCTTTGCATCCAACCAAGGAGCAGCTAGCAGTAGTCCTTCTGTTCCAATCCTTTGGACCCTCCCTGAAATAGAATTTTTCTTTGTCTAAATCAAGCCCCACAATTTGGCGATTTATGAGGGTGGACATCCAAATCAACTAACCAGAACAATTGGTCATCTACCACCAAGCCCATCTTGTGTACACACATATGGACACTCATCTTCTATGGGTGCCCAAACTCCAACATGCACGGAGTATCTGTCGCTACAGTACATGCGAAAGATGTACCCCTTTACTGAAACATCACCACTCAACTTACGAAGCACAGCCAGAATGCATTCCTTCCTATCCTTGATGAATCCAAACGCAAAGGACAGATGAGTTGGACCTTCAGAAAGAGGAAAAGGCCAGGGGAGAGAACAACATTCTTTCGTCTTTGGATTGCAAAGCTTAAAATAGCCTCGAATATCTTCAAAGAATATGACATCATTGCCAAAACCAACAGGACATCCGAACAGAGAATTCCCAATCTTTTTCGATCTTACATCTTGATCTGTTTTAGGATGATAGTAAACATCAGTCTCACACCCTTCTACCCTCAGCTGCAAGTTCAGGAGGAGAAGCAGCTTGCGACTTTTCTAGATGAGGTGCAGGGTATCAAAGCAAGTCTTCTACTGTTTTGAGAGACATTGAACGCAGAATAAATCCCTCCTCTCCAAACGCAACATAACCTGACATGAACCAGGAGCTTTTTGAGTTGGGTAGGGAGACAAATTACCTCAAAACATAAACGATTGTTCCAAACACAAATTCTAATGGAATTATCTCAACACCAAAAATTAGATAAAAACCTCTTGGATCAAGAAATCATCGTTCCACCTTGATTCTGCCAATAACTCTCCTGCAAGAAAAGAAAAAATAAATAAAAAAAAATAAAAAAAATCGGTAATCTGTAACCCATTGTTACCCAATCCCAGACAAGATAAAAAAAAAAAAAAAAGGAAACAAAACAACTTCCATGCCTTCAAATCCATTGCCGTTCCTATCAAGATTCAAGCCATTTCTATGGGTTTACTATGCCAGATGCCCATGTTGTAAATTAATCATTGCAACCACCCATATCAAGAAACCATCGCTAAATTAATCCTTGTAAATGATCCAAGGTTTTCAGAAATTCATCTTGGCAAAAATTACTCAATAAAACAATAAAACAGAACAATGAATTATTGAACGCGATACTATATAACTAATGATGACTGAAAGCAACCAAAAAAAATGGAAACCCTCCAAGAAAAATGAAGTCTTTCCACCCATTTTAAACAAAATCAAGAAAAAAGGGAAACGGGTTTGCCTTGAGATACGTCAATGGAGGACCCCGAAGGTTTTGGCGATTCTTCATCAAACATTGGAATTCGGTGGTACCGATGAATGATCACCAGCATGAACTTTGGGGTGGGGGAAGAAAACGACACTATCAGAAATCGAAGTAAAATTTTCGAAGTAACGAAATCGAAGTTGAGTTGAACTCACCAGACGAGTTGTCTCCCATTGCGAGGATTCTCCGACGAATTGTCTCCGGTTGCGATTACTAGAGGAATTTCAGGCGCGTGCGCGGTTTTTCTATGGATTTCTTATTTCAAACCGAGGAGGGTCCTTTGGATTGAGGGTGTTAAACGGTAAGCAAAGAGGGGGGTGTATTTTTAAAGTGGGTTTATGTTATTTGTAAGGAAGCCTACGTTAATGGGTCAGCCTTGATACGGCATTTCGGCCCAATATTCTTTCAAATTTTTAATAAGGCAATCACCCGGTCTCCTTAGGATGTTTTGTACTTCAGCTTTTGGGCACACTATAATTGTTCTCTTTGAATTTTAAGAAAACAAAAAGAAGTGAAAGCCTCACCAATTAAATTTTAGAATAGTGATATACCCAAAAACAAAAAAGAAAAAAAATTACCCTTAAAACTTATAAGAAATGAATTAGCTAAATTTAAACTCTCTACTTAACATCAAATTGATAAAATTTTAGGAGTGCATTGTAAATAGAGATGTTATAATTCAATCCGTACCATTCTTATTAAGTTTTTGAAATTTTATTCATAATGTAAATCAATTTTACTGATGATTTCTTCATGCCACATAATTTTTTTTTACTCAAGAATTAAGTGCTCTGTTTTTGGACTATTGTTTTGATTTGTATTTTGTTATTTCATGAAATTATGAGTTCATAAGATTAATTTAAAGAATGTATGTATGTAGGGGGGGAGGAAACATCAACAAGCCAAAATTAACTAAAATTTTAAATGGCACTGATGTGTCTATTATTAAGCGGTCTAGTAGCACTAAGTAGAGTGACCCTGAGTGAGGCGGTCTAGTAGCACTGATATAGCTATTGTTATGCGGTTTAGTAGCACCGAGTGTGGTGACCATTTAAGCATATACGGATTCACCTCTCTTCATGTCGGTAATACGAGACAATATATCTTAATATCTTTCAATTATTATAAATACTTTGGACTTAAACCAATTAGTAATGAGTAGAGTGACTCTTATTACATACAGATTCACTTCTCTTCTCGCTGACAACATAGAACAATATATCTTAACAAAAACACAAACCCACAACACAACTCAGAAGATCACAATCCAAACAGAGGACGAATTATTCATCTGTAATCCTACCCATGAAGCAACTTTTAAGATCACGATCCATCTACTATGCAATCCCATGTGATTTACTTTTAGTTGCAACTTGTGAGATTACAGTTGAAGTTACAAACTTTTCATCAACACTAGGAACGAAACTATGTTCTTTAAATTTACTCATTTTGGTGCTAAAATAAAAAATACAACTACTTTCATCTCAAAAAAAATAGTTCACATTAAGTTTTCAAATTTGTACTGTGTTTAATATAAATTTCAAAACTCAAAGTGAATTATTTTTTTGGGATGGAGGGAGTTGTAAAATTGGATAATCATTTCGAAGGACAAGAAGTAGCACCAAGTCTTGAACCTAATTCCAAGAGTCCAAACCAAAAGTGTACTATAACTTGAGATTAGACAAGGGGAAGGAAGAGATGGTGCTATAAACTTTGCTCTTCCTTCCTTTTGCAAGTCTAATCTAATCTCAATCCAACCAAACTTTACAAAAACCCTCTCTCTTTGTGTCCAGTCTCAGCCGTACAACATCGAAGCCAGTAAGTAGTAGTAGTAGTAGATGGACAGTGTAATTGCTCCAATAAATTCGTCAAAGATCTCTTCCTCCAGAGATCTTCTTACACACACACACACCTCCAAAATTTTGCTTGCATCATCATTTTCCTCCCCCAATGAAACCACTGCTCACACACACACACACACACACACACACACACACACACACACTCTCACTCTATTAATTACTCCTACAAAGTACACACACTCACAAAACCACCAACCCTTTTTCTTCTCTCACATCAACTTACTCTTTTTTCTTAGTTGTTAAATTCAGGTAAAAAAAGCATGTTGTTTTCTTACTCCTTTCACTCTTATTTCTCATCACAGCAAATAGGATTCCCCCTTATCCCAAATTTAGCCATTATGGTACCAACCTTTTCTTATTTCCCTTTTTCTCAATGAACAAAAATGGAGTGATGACTTGCCAAATTACTGTCATGCACAGGAGTTTGAACAGAAAGAATCAAGATATTTTGATTCTGATGATTGAAATAAAAGAACAGAATAGGGTTGCAGATAAATTACATGTCAAAATGAGCTGAACCTGTGAACCATGAATGAAATTATGAAATCACAGGCCTCAAAGAGATTGAGAGAGAGAGAATTGAGGTTTGAAAAAATAGGGGAAATTATGGAAGGGGCCCCCTCTTTACTACCAAAAGGCTGCTGAAACAAATGAGTGGAACTGCAGCATCAGAAACGAGTGTTTGCAGAGCAGTATAGCCATTTTTTCTTCTAAAAACCTCTCTCTGATTATATCTCTTCCTCCTCATCACTTTTATCCGCATGTGGTTGTATTTTTCCTCCATCTTTTTCAAATGGGGTCAGTTTCATTCATTTCCTTGTAAAACCTCTCTGCAGAAACAGCCCATATTTTTTTCCCCTGCTTTTCCAGTTGAGTAAATAGTATTGTGGGACTGTGGGAAGAGAGTATTACTCCTACTATTTATTAAACTTTGCTTTTAATGTTTTCTCTCTACTCTGACTCTGAGAAGGGATGTATGGATGACCCCTTTTTAATAACCTCCATGAATGATCAAGAACCCTTTTTGTCTTCAACCCTTTTAAATTCTTGTGGATTTTGTTTTATACATGAGTGAGTTTCTTGGGTTCTGAATATCCTGATTGATAATCACCCACTTTTCCTCCTCATGCAAAGCCAAACACCTTACTTTTTGCTGCATATTTTTTGAAAAAAAAAAAAAAAAAAATTGGTGGGGATCATTAATCATGCAGTTGCTCCCTTTCCTCCTTGTCCTTATTCTTGAAGGTTTGAAAGAACAAAACTTTAAATGATATACTATTTGATGCTGCTGGCTTCTGGTTTTTTTTTTTTGCATACTGCGTGGGATAAAAGAGGTTTCTTTATTCTTTTGCTGTTCACTTCTTGGTTTTCTCTTGTTTTGGATTCTCTGCGAGAAAATCTACTACATATATAGTGCTAAAGTATACGGCTTCAAAGATATCTTTTTTACCCAATCCTTTTTCTTTTTTTTCCTTGTAGTGCTAAGTACAAACACCGATTTAAGTCCCTTAAAGGAAAATCCTATACGTCTACCTTCCCCATCTCTATATCTGGTATATTCTCTCTTGACATGGCTGCTTTTTAAAGCTTATAAGTTGAGAAGGTCCATCATGCAGACTGGATTTTCCTAGATTCTGGCCATTAGTTTATCTACTACCAAGGGTAATAATAATAGCTTGAGCTTGGTTACTTTTTCTCTTCTTTTCTCTCGTTGACCTTTCAAGTTTAAACTTGCTAGTCTTTCAAATGTACCTAACTTTTGGTCGTTTTCAGGATCTCACAATGCATTGATAGTAATGTTGATGGGTTTTTTTTAACGATGTTCAAGAGTGATGAAGATTTGGTGTTTAGTCTATTTCTGTTTTGCATCAATCAAATTTTAAGTTGGTCCGTCTGGTACAGTAAAACTGCTGTTTTTGCTTGCATTGATTCCACTTAATGACTGTTTGATTTCCATCGCATTCTATGAGAAATTTTTAGGACATTTCCCTTTTTATTGGACTAGCTAGCTTGACTGGAGAAATAATGCAAAAAAAATCCTCTTCCCAATTATTGAGTTTTTGATCACTGTGCAATTTGTTCATTGCAGGGAGGAGGAAAAAAGGCTAAAACTGTTCTGCATCATCAGTAGAGATATGAACGAACCAAATGCTTATGACTGGATTGTCTCCAGCAACCGAGGAAACCAGATGGTTTGTGGATTTTCAGGGCCTTCAATTGGGCAAGGTAGCAATTATAATGTACAGCCATCTTACATCCATGATGCTGATTCTTATGCACTGAGAAACTTGCATCAGCCAGAGAGGGAATCTGTTCCTGTTGGAGCTTTTTCATATGATGCTTCATATCCAGCAGCAAGTAACATCCATCATGTTCATCAGGATTCATACATGGAGTCAATGCCAATTTCTGCAACATCTATTGCTACCCTTTTGGCTGCAAGGTTTGATAATCATGAGAATCCAGAACAATGTGCTTCTTCTGCTGCACCCTTTTTGTACCCTCTTGAAACTTTCAATCCATCGTTTCCTCAAAACAACATTAGATATGACGGTAGTTTACTGTCTGAAGCTGATTGCAACTGGGCTAGTAGCAATTTTGCTGCTCATGAAGAACTAGCTGGAATTGTTGGAAGCAGAAACCAACAACCGGGATTTTTCGACACTTCCTCTGGCTCCTCCTCTAGGCTGAGCAATGAGCTTTCACTCAGTCTTGCCACTTCCAATAATCATATGGTTTTGAGACGAGCTTCTATCCAGGATCAGAGCTCGGAAATTTGCTGTTCCGGCAGCCCTTATGAAAGATGTATTGGTTCAGAACAAACTTCAAGTAGCAGGAATCTTGGTTTGAGCTTTGGTTCAAACAGGACTATCCAGCTTTCACAGTTAATATCTGGTTCAAAATACACAAGAGTGATGCAAGAAATACTTGCTGAATTGGCAGCCTTTTCTCTCGGAAATCTCGACCTCACAAGCACCGAAATTGGGGGCAGGTCAAATCTCTCATTTGCTTCAAGTTGTAATGCTGAAAAGGGCTATCCAGAATCAGATTCTGATTACTTTCCTGATGATGCATCCTGGAGAGTTATGAATCAAGTTGACTGCCCTGTTAATCAAATCCGGGAGGTTGAGAAAAAGAAAAAGCAACTGCTGGATTTGTTGCAAGTGGTATGTGAAACTTGTGGCTTCAAAGTTTTAGATTCTATTAAACTGTTTACTTACTGCTTCATGTTTTATGCTTTCCTAAACGTCATTTATCTGTTCCATTAAACTCCTTCATGTCTTAATGTCATTACATCTGAGGTCGAAACTCAGAAAGTGGTTTGTAGCTTTTGATATATTATGATGGTTGAAGATCATGACTAGGAAACCTTAAGCCACACTGTTTGGTTCTTGAAGTTTCTGAAATGTGTATATCATTTTCCCCTTAGGTTGATGATCGATACAATGAATGCCTAGATGAGATACACACTGTTGTATCAGCATTTCACACTGTGACGGAGTTGGATCCTCCGATCCACGCTCGGTTTTTCCTGCAAACTATATCTTTGTTGTATAAGAACTTGAGGGAGAGGATCAGCAGTTACATTCTATCAATGGGGGCATATTCTAGTGAAGGAGTAATGAGAAAGGACGAAAATTCATTTGAGGCAACTTTCATTCAGAAGCAATGGGCTCTTCAGCAGCTGAAAAGGAAAGATAATCAGCTATGGAGACCACAAAGGGGATTGCCAGAGAAATCTGTCTCAGTTCTAAGGGCCTGGCTGTTTCAAAACTTCCTCCATCCGTGAGTAGTTTGATTTCGTTTTCTTACCGCTTATGCTTGTTCGTCAATAATGAATGCAGTGTTTTCGTTTTGCTGGAAATCTGGAGCCCAATTATGTGGTATGTAACGAATTTCAGGTATCCAAAGGATGCAGAGAAGCACTTGCTTGCAGTGAAAAGTGGTTTGACAAGGAGCCAGGTAGAATTGGAAGTTTGAATGTCATTAGTCTTCTTGTGCATTGCATCCTTAGTTTCAAGCTCAAGATCTCGATATTACAATCCTCTCTCCGTGGTCTTCATCAAAATGCCTTGTTAATCCATTGGTTTGTGATCTGTGTTCAAAAACAGGTTTCCAATTGGTTCATTAATGCTCGAGTGAGACTTTGGAAGCCGATGATCGAGGAAATGTATTCTGAAATGAATCGTAGAAAGAGCCTGCAGAATGATGAAGAAACAAACAGAAACAACCAACAAAGGAATCGAGTTAGCATGGATAATCACATATTCAATATGCAGTAGCAAGCTGAAGAAACTTATATTGAAACATAGTACTAGATGCTAGAACTGTAAACATGAGAGGTTCAGCTTTTGCTGTCTATATTTAAGTACTTGTTTCTGAATACTTGCCCTGAAATTCTTCAAAAAAATCATTAAAAAGATTTGAAAAATTAAAGAAAGATCAATCAAAAGAGCTTGGTCCAAGGTTTGGGGAATTCATATATTGTCATTCCCATGGCAGAACCAGCGGTCAAGGGTTTAATGGAGTTTGCCATTATGCAGTTGATTCAATGGGCAAAACAGATGCAAAGAGAGCTAATACTGCAAAGAATGATTTTGAAACACAAATGTCGCCCCCCCTTTTATTAACTTTAATTTTCCCTGTTGTAATGAATAATTATTCAGAGATGTACAACAGATACTATGAATACAACTGAAACTGCTGCTACTGCTCCTCATTATACAAATTTGGCACAAAACTGTAGAAAGGGGAAATCCAATCTAAGCCTATTCCACTTTTCATTTTGCTCTTTCTATCTTCTCAAATATTATCTACACAGTCCTAATGAAGTTCCTTTCTGTTCCCTGCTATACTTCCTTTTGATAAATTGGTGCCACGTTCGTTTCATAATTACAGGATTACAGCAATGCAAGAATGCTGCTATTCAATTCGTCAGATTTCCACGCAAATTCTGGTCTTTATTGGCTTTAGCTTTAAACCCATACTCTCTGGAGAGAATAGCTCTGGAGATATGCAAGTTGGACTTAAGGGGCTTCTTGGGCTGACACTCAGTTGAGGAGGTCTATAGAAGCCATATCCCATTAAGAAATACTCCATTGGTATCAACATTGCATCAGGTTGTTCCTCTGTGACCATTGATCCGCAAGCTTGAACCTGTTCAGACAATCTCAGTGAGAGAAGATGATAAATGCATATTGGACAGCTATGCGAATAATTAAGTCTAAGAAAACAGATTTTGCATACCTCAACCAAAGCACTGAATCTTCTATCAAGTTTGGAGGTCATATGAAGAGCTTCTGAATGGAAAGGAGAATGTTCACCGACTATAATCAAAGACCGGCATTTTAGTTTCCTCAAGCCATCAGAAATATCAGGTCTCCTGCAGGAGAAACACGTAAGATTTGTGTCAATAGAGTGCGTATGCATCATTAGATATGAAGGTGATATTCTAAGTGCAGGTAAGGAGAATTGCTTACTCGTTGATAGCTTCAAGAAACCGTAAAACATTGTAACTTTGTCTCTCACCCAGAAACTGCATATAAAGCGAGCACCTCATGGAAGTCAGGCAAATGCCAGATGTCCAACATAACAATAATCACTTGGGAACATTTCTACACTACAACAGCATCACCCGATATGAGACAGAAGAAAAGGTTTTTGAACAACTTACTCTTCGACATGCTTGTACTATGTCTGATTCTGGTACTTCAGCACTACCTCTAACTCCCTGCCAATAAAAAATTGCAGTTAGAAACTACAATATGATGAGGAGCTGAATAAATATGAAAAAAGTACATTGACAAAATTAATCCTTACCTTGCTAAAGAACCTTGCAAGCAATAGTTCCTTCACCAAGGTACACATTCCACAAAAGTAGAGTAAATTTGACATTACCTGCAAGTAATCATAAGAACGAGGCGAGCAATGTCTTCCGTCATTTAATGCGTCCAGAATGCACAATGGCATAAGGAGAGGAGGGATCTTAAAGAGTCTTGTCAATATACCTTATTACACAACCATTCTGTCCATGATGGTGCTTTGCATAGAGGGGAAATGAGTATCAAACCCATAACTCTTTTGGTATATTTCATCTGCAGTAAAGTTGAATAATTTAGTTTGCAATTACTGTGATGGAAAGCATGTAGTGGATGCTCTTGTTAGAAAGCCGTTTAGTTTGGCTCAACTTACAGCAAAAAGGGTGAGAACATAAGCTCCTGCAGTAACACCCATGCACATAACACTTCCTAGTCTGAAATAAAAGCGTCAAATCAACATAAAAAAAAGTTAAAATATCAGATTCTTGGCTTTGAGGAACAGCCATGCTGTAAAGTTTTTGCCGAGAACATAAATCAGCAGATCATGAATAGTGATTAGAAATTCAAAATCCTATAGATAGAAGGCCTTTTTGAGTCTATTGGCAACAGGGAAGTATGACAAGATATTTCAACTAAAAAGCAAGTTATAAAACTAGCTAGCTGCATGAGACAAAGCCTTACAGATCATTACCGAAAATAGTCAATGATCTCTGCAATCTGATCTGCTAAATCATCAACAGATAAAGGTGTCTCCTCAGGGTTCGATACAAAGGCACCCAACTGCATCGATGAAAGAAATGCATAGTAAGCAACCCTATATAGCATAAAAGAATTGTCGATGGGCGCAAGCCAAATAGAGGAACAAGTTGACAGACCTCGTGGCCAGGGGGACTGATATGGTAAATACAGAAGTTGTGAACCAGCATAGAGGATGCTTCCCGGCAGTAGAATAATCCTTGGAAACATGACATATCTGTTCAATAACATGCATGCAAATGGGAGAATGTTTAGAATCTTCAGGAAAATTAATCTTGTCAACATCCATGCTTCGTCAGCCAGCCAGAATGTAATCATTCAAACAAGAAGCCAGCAAAAACTCCATACAGGTATATAACTCCACACCAAAAACAGGTATATAACACCAAACCACAAACCATTTAGCAGCATTTCATTTTCTTTTAGTTGGGAACAACATTTTTCAACTCAAGCGTCTAGGAATTCACACAAATAATCGGTTGCAAATTATGCATAGAAAAAACAAAATGAGAATGGAATTATTTATATATATATATATATATATACATATATATAGGCAAAACCTAAGGTAAAACACATTTATCAAGACAATTGTAACACCAGCTAGACATCAGTTGGATAGCTTGATAAGTTAAAGAACAGCTCTACAGTAAGCAACAATGGAAATCCGGGTCAAGGTGAAAACTTACTATAAAAGACAAACTGAAAATGGTTTACTCACAATTTAACCCCAAATCAGGATAAGTTATAAGAGCCGGCTTGTCCTGATCCCCCACCACAGCAACAGACACCAAACCATAACTAGTCTTAACGAGATGCTCCTGAAGTGATATGAAAACTTGGATTAAGTCAACAATAATAGTGAAAAAGAACCAAAGAAAGCAAACAACGACCAAAACTTCCTTCACTAAAATCCACGCAAGTTTCATGCAATATTACTTCAAAAAGAGGGAAAATTCATTTCAGGCAAAACCAAAGTAGTGATCTTTTTCCATCCTTTAATAAGCATCCATTTCCAGTGGTCCCTTTTAAATCTAATCTGGTAATAAGCTGTTTACTGACGATCATGAACCGATAATGAAAATGAATCTAATATTTATACCTATAAACACGATCTCCAGCCCATAATCCAGGCAAAAAAGGATACCCCTTTCATAATTGAAACTAAAATCTTTAAAATGTTAAAACAGGAAAGGGTGGAAAACCTTGTTCCGTCCACGTGATTGAAATAACGAAAAGAAAACTCTGCAAACTGATATTTTCGTTCGACTTCCCCAAAATTGAAGCAAAAAGAAGGCAACTTTTCAACTAATCAAGCATAAAGAAGTACAAAAATGTTCCGCTAGTCAGATAGAAACAAAAACCGTTTCAGGTGAATTTCTTCCCGGAAAAAATACCATATACAATCAACTTGGAGAGGAAGAATTTTTATTCTTGGAAACAATAGCCAATTTGGCAAGCGGATAAAATTTAAATTGATCATAATCTAAAACTTCCCAGAAAATGAAAAATGCAGCTCCAAACTGATGCCCCTTAAACTTGAGAAAGTTCATCAAAATCAAACCAAACCAAACCAAAAACCAAAAAAAAAAAAAACAAAACTGATATTAACAATAAATGATGAACCCATTGAGGAGATTAGCTTCCCAGATAAAATAGAAACAAAAAGAACCCACTACAACAAAAGCATCATTCTTTGCAAAAACGCATCAAAATGAGGTTGGAAAAAAGGCCAACCTTGCCGGCAAATGAGAAGGACTCCATGTCAATGGAAACAGAGTCACAGCTGGAGTCCCCCATTGTCAAGTTTCTTCTTTCACTCCTTCGTTTTCACAAAATCTCTCTTTTTTTCCAAAATCCCTCTAGAAATGGCGAATCATTACCATTGTTGTGAAAAAGCTCACCAAAAATATATTCATATATAGAAATCCTCTCTCTTCTCTCTCTCTCTCTCTCTTCCTAAATTTTCTTAGATTTTTCCCTCCCTCCGTTTCCTTTCCTTCCCTCTCGCTGCTTCCTATATATCATTACCAAAATTTATGATATTCTGTAATTATCTAAGTTTTAGCCCATAAAATGAAAAACCAATTATTTTATAGGGAAGGGAATTTAATACTCATAATTGTTTGGTTTTTGGTGATATAATAATATTAAATTATTTTTCTAGTTTGCTGTTTTTTCAGTTACCATAAGTCCATAATATATTAAGAAGAAGAATAGAGAGATAATGTCGCTTTTCATTTCTCACACACACACACACACAGAAAGCTGAGTGAGTGAACTCGGGAGCGTACAATTACCCCGCTGCCCTGCCCACCGACGCTCACGAGTGACTTCCAACTCGGAGCTTTACTATATGATTCCTTCCCTTAACCAGAGTTAAAGCGGGGCCAAACCGACAGAATTTCATGTTCTCTGACGTCTTTGCCCCTGTATTTTTTTTTTTCTTCCGAATATTACTCGTCATGTATCCGATACTATATTAACACGACTAATCCGATTCGAGCCGAATAATTGTGTCTACCAAGCATCTAAAAGTAGATACTCCATAAATCTTTCAGTTCCCTGTATTTCAGTTACCATAAGTTTTGTTAAAAATATTATTTTTTAGACAAATTCTTTTGGGAATTTCTAGCCAATTAATCTGCGGTTTTAAATTCTCTACCAAGCATCTAAAATTAGATACTCCATAAATCTTTCCCAGATTTTTTGCTTCAAAAAAAGAATCCAAAAGGTAAGTGCGTAAAATTTTCCTCCTTTGCTAATTTTAAACATTGTGAGATTTTTATTTTCCCTTCATCAATTTCTTTTGCAAATTAAAAATGAAATAAATACGACCCTTAAAAAACTTTAAAGTAAAGCAATAAATAAATTCCAGCATTTGAGAAATCTGGAATTTTCTATGCTTGGAATGGCACTCTCAACTAATTAAGGTCCACATCAAAAAATAGGGAGGGAAATGGAGATGGGGGACAACGGTACTTTAACGGTACAATTTCATCAATTTCGTTTCAAATGTATTACGAAAAACAAATCTTGTCCACAAATTTCGACGATTTTACCTCAATTTGTCGATGGCATTCGCAACTACATAACATAGCCTCTTACAAAGTTACATTCGGCGTCTAAAGTTGTTATTACGACAATAATATCATAACAATATTAGAATAGATTAATTGTTTATATAATGTTTCTCTACAATAAATAAGAAGATTCTCTTAACGAATATTTTAAATCATTCATCGGTCCAGATAGTTTATTATTTGGAGCGAATACTTGTATCAAGATGAAGTCTCTCTGATTTGATTTTTTTCTTTGCCCAAAAAACAGTCGGCATGGCATTTCATACCGTTTTCTTTAAATTTAGCCCCTTCCTCATTTGTTTTATTTTTTGTCGGCAATATGAGTTCTTACTGTACCTACAACCTAGCTATCATCCTTTGGCTTTTAGGGTATCCCCTCCAAGTCTCCATCATGGGAGGATGTGACACCAAATACCATGATGCGGAAATAATATGATTGTGTGCATTAATTTTTGTTCAAAAATTTGAAAAAAGAAAATGCACCAAACCCAAAAAATAAATAAATAAATAAATAAATCTTACTTAAAAAATGATGAACTCTAGAATTAAGTGTTCAGTACATCTACATCATGTACAACTTGATATCATCCGTATAATTTTTTTTCCCCAATCTAGCTTAAGAATGTCATGATTCTTATTACTTAAAGTGTAATTGAATTCTCCTGGTTATAGTATTTTCTATATATATATATATATATATATATATATATATAGGAGAAGAAGGGTATAAACATTATAGCCAAGTCAAGTAAGAGTAGTTAGACTTTGGAGTTCTATATATATAACGATGGGAGATCAATACAATTATGTGGAGATATATTATTTTGAAGGGGGCAAAAAAAAAAAAGTGTAAATGGCGTGGTTGACATAACAAAACGAGACTGAATGTAAACCAAACCCAAACGGCCGAACACGAAAGCTTTAAAATTAAAAAAGTTGCAAATCTCAATCGAGGACAATTGCATGGTAACTACTGGTTTTTTGAAGGTCGTTAATATGGCACTTTACTAATTTGTTTGACTTTCATATATAAATTAATCAACTAATTATGATCGATGAAACATCAACTTCCCCGTGTTGATCTAGTACAACATACAACACGTACCCCCAAAGTGTTTCCTCCATCCTATACGTGAAACAAAATAACTTGTTTGCAAAAATAAAATAAAACAACAACAACTCTTTCTGTCTCAAAAATTATTATCAATTTAGATTTTTACTTTCAGTTCAGAATTTATACTAAAAATAAAAATCTAAAGTAAACAATAATTTCGAGACGGAGGAAATAAGAGAAATTAGAACCGAACCTTCAAACTCCCCGAGAATACGTGTCTTTGAATATTCATAAGTTACTCGAATATAATGGATTTAACAACTCTTGTAATTGATAAGTCTTCTTCTAGCTAATCATCGCATTTTTATTTAGTAAAAACAAAATACTGAATACGATTTGTCCTAAACAAAATATTGAATATTACTATTTCTTTGATTACCGCGTGACTGTATGCGATTTTAACCTGGTTTTTGTATATAGCCAAAAATATCTATCTGGGAAAGAGCAGAACATTATTGATACACGAATTCATCAAATGATGGGACAATGTATTTCGTGAGTTTAACCTTTTAACTTAGTCTCTTAGATCTTTATTATAAGATATTTTAATTGTTCCAGATTTTACCGAATATGTTTTTTCAATTAGAAAAAAAATTTAAAATTATTCCATAATAATTAGAAGAGCATAATGAATGTCAAAATGCAGTTTTAAAATTTTTTTTTTTCAATCGAAAAAACATATTATGTAAAATTTAAAACAAATCAAAATGTCATATAATAAGAACCGAAAGGATGAATCTCATTTCTCAACCGAAATGATATATAGGTTCCGTTTTATTTATTTTTTTAATTGTCAAGAAGAAGGAAGCCCGCCGAATGATTGTAATTTGTTAAATGGGAAAAGGTATGAACCGTTGGTGCAGATGAGCATTATTCTGATTATTTAAATGCTATATATATCCCTTTCTTTTTGGTTAATGATCGGTGATAAATTAAATTAATCTTGGAAAAAAGTAAGCAAATGTACACTGATCATGTAACTTTAGGATATTAATGAGGATTGCTTAATAATCGTGGTTATACTCATCTAGTTGGATGATCAAGCGTCCATATCTAATTGGAATCTTTGACTGAGACTTAACCACTAAAAATTCTCTCTTGAGTTACATACATCAATTATGTTACAACGTCGTCTCATTAACCTACCAGTTCTATGATTACTCAAAGATTTAATTTTATTCCCGAAGCTCAAAAAGTTTAATTGATCTGGTTAAGTAGGTCTAAGATTCCCCGTGACATCAAAAATTTGGTGTTTTTAAGGTATAAAATTACGTTTAAAGCGTGGACAAACAAACAAAGAAAAGAATGCCAGCAACGAATTCGTACACAACAAAGGATAAAAAGAGAAATTAAAGAGCATAAAAGTTTGAATATATAATTTGATGCTTCACTTTGTTGAGAATACTTTAGATTGAGAGAATTTAATTTAGTGGTAAAACCTTTTTAGACCAGATTAATTCTAACTTGAAATTTAACACTCTTTAAAGTACATCGAACACCTGATGTGACAATTGTCCATTTAATAATTAATGTGTTTGTGTATGTATTATATATATATATATATATATATATATTTTCTCCTTTGGGGTAATGTTTGTTTTCGTGAAAGCATCTTTTTTTTTCTTTTTTCTTTTTTTTTTTCGGAGAAAGCTAATTTCAACCATTATAAGAGTTCTAAACTAGTTCAGAATGGATGCCCATTGCCTCGGTTCACTAGTATCTGTACTAGGGTTTTATTTTACGAAATTTCATGTTTATATGTATAAGGTTGATTAATTGTCAATTAATGATTTGCATGTGCTATTGTCCTTCCTTTAGAGTGTATAGAAATTAATGCTAGCATTTTACCAAAATAAAAAATAAAGAAATTAATGCTAGCATTATATTTAACCCGAGGACCACATCTTTTGAGAGCATTTAACGATAATTTTAAGCCGGATTTACGACTCCAAATTATTGGCCTATAAGAATGACATAATTAGTTTGTGCGCATCAACCGACCTTAGGCAAAAATGACCTAATGCCACTATAATTAATCTTTACACTGCTATACTTCATGTTAGGCTTCTTCTGTCTTTTAAAAAAAATTGGGGGGACGTTGTTTATTAATAATAATAAATTTGGAACTGCTTGTATGTACTCTCTCCGGTTCTTAATATAAAGAATTTTGATTTTATTATAGGTTTTACCTAGTATGTATTTTTAATTGACGGATATATTTCACAATCCTTGTATTCACTTGACTGTTATGAAATATTTTTAAGATTTTCTTGTCAATTAAAAATATGTATTATGTTAAACTTAAGATGAATCAAAATGCCTTATATTAAGGACGGGGAGTATGTTTTAAAGAACACCAAATCAATAAAGTGCATATGATCATTAGATTAATTTTTTTGGAAAGAACAATACTAGTGCATATGATCATTAATATCCGAAAAAAAAAATTGTTTCAAGTTTTTTCAGGTTCCACGTTAATGTGAAGTCATTCTTTAATGTGTGGCGAAAATGATGAGTATACAAACAAAAAGACTTGCTATTAAACTACTAATTAGTCGTTGTCAAAATTATTCTCTTTTTATTTTTTCGGATATTTTACTTTC